CTCTTTGGAATGGACACAAATATGGATCTCTTCCAATCAGTTGGCCAGATAGTTGTCTTCCAAATTTCTTGGCAGAGATGAGTGAGTGCCTTCTGTGCTGCCTCACTTTCTTGAAAGATTACAATTTACTATCTCAAGCGAATAAAGTTTTTGTAGAAATGCAGCCAGAGTGCTCCTCAGAGGCCAAGATGGCCAAACTTTGTCTCTCATACTCTGGACATATTGTCAGGAGGGACCATACTCTGGACCTATTGTCAGGAGGGATCAATCGCTGAAGAAGAATATCATGTTTGGTAAGGTGGAGGGTCAGAGAAAAATAGGAAGACCCCAACATGATGGATTGGCCAAGTGGCAGCATCAATGGACTCCAGCAACAGTAGTGAGGAAAATTTTGGATGTTTGAGTCCATCTAGAAGCGCCACACCAGGACTCCAAGAGGTACTCCAGAAAAAAAGTCCTGCTGATCTGCTGAAAAGCCAGCCATTGACAAGTAGAGTGCAGTTCTATTCTGACACACAAAGAGTGCATGAGTTCAGGTCAACTTGATGGCAACTGTTTTTTAAGAGCAAAATATCATGCAAACAGTGTCTTCTATAACACAGCACTAAAGGCTTTTCTGGGCAAGTGCTAGTCTTCAGTTGTTGTTGTTATGTGCTGTTGAGTTGGTTCCAACTCGTAGAGACCCTGTATAGGATTTCCTAGGAGTGGTTGGTAAGCTTGCACCACTGACCTTGCGGTTCTAACTGACCTTGTAGTCCAGAGCATTAACCTGAAGTACCACACCAGTCTTCAGTAGGCATTAGTATTTATATGTTGTTGTTAAGTGCCATTGAGTCAGTTTTGACTCCTAGTGACCCAGTATAGGGTTTCCAAGAAGCAGCCAGTGAGTTTGAACTTCCCACCTTGTGGTTCAAACTGACCTTGTGGTCCTACACTTACCTTACAGTGCCATATCAGGACTCCCCAGTATTTATATAGAAGGAAGAGAAAATCTGCAGAGAATCCAGATATGCCCCCAGGTCATTAATTGGCCTCCCTCGACAAGAAGACTAGCTTGAAGCCTTCCCATACTCTACCCCAGTCCATGCTCCTGGTTGGTTGGCTTTATGTAATACAGATTCCAGAGGGTCTCATCCCAATCCCACCTTGCAGGAGGGTGCTATAACCTCACAGGCTGATGAATTCCAGAAACTTGGCCTCCTATTAAAAACCCTTCAGTCAAGAGGCCAGTAACTCTGGGACTTGCTTCTTGTTGTTGTTAAATGCCGTGGAGTTGGCTCTGACTCATAACCACCCTGTATAGGGTTTCTGAAGCTTTTAAATCTTTTCAGGAGCAGAAAGCCTTCTCTTTCTCCCACAGAGAGACTAGTGGGCTTCAACCTCTGACCT